CCTGAAATATTGACATTCTTAATAAAATGTGGCATTTGCAAAGAAAATGACAACCCATATTCTTCTTACCTTGATTGAATATGAATTTAATTTATTTTGTTAAGCTTAGTTCTGTCTTGGATGTGATGAGAGACAGCTAACTTTCTGATGTGGAAATACATAAGTCCAAAGCCACAAGCAAATTTTTGTTATCAAAATGAATTCCATTATAATGATTGTGATTCCTACATAATGAATACAACCCAAAGAAAGCTATTTATTTATATTCCAATATAAAGGCTTCCAAATGCAATAACTGTAAGTGTTGACCACAAAATGCTATGGAAAGCAGTTTCATTGATTTCAGTGAAATTGTCCAGCATAACAAATTGTTCAAAATTGTTCAGGTGGTTTCAAGATGCAAAATGCCCAGTGTTGGTGATGAAAACTGAAGTTTTAAAATATTTTCCATTTTAATAGCTATGATCCATTTGAAGTTCTTTTTTGCTTAACTATGGCCATGAAGGAGCTAGGCTTTAATCACTGCATTTTACTCTTATAATTAGGATTGGGGAAAAGATAATAGCAGAAACACAGTTTGATCAGGTTCTAGAATATTTGGGATTGTTGTACATCAGTTCAGTTGTTCTCCAGGATTCAAGAGAGTTCCAGGTTTTTTTTTAACCTCATTTCTTGTCTTTTCCTAAAGACTGAGAAGAAAAGGCAATCTGTGCTCACAAGGACAGTTATGCTCTTAAAAACTTTCTAAAAATGTGCAGTAAGGAGGGCTGGCCAAGCATATTCAGATAAAGATACCAATTTTATCATGTGCACTTCAAAACAACTTAATGTTTTTCTGCAACAGATTGACACATATTCCTCCCAAAATCAATTTTTTCCTTTCTGTTGTAATGGTGGGGCTATGATTTGGAGTCCCAGCTACAAAGCAACCCACATCCAGAGTATTCCCTTTTATCATAGTTTGAAAGATTTTGCTCAAAACACCAGAAATGTGGGAGTGGATGGATCGACACCGAGTGTGGTGAAGATAAAACAGAAGTTGGATATCTGCTTCACAAATGAAAGAATATAACCATTTTTCTAACATCTGGAAATATCAGGCCGCACCCACTGCATCAAAAATGCATTTTAAAGAACTTTTAAAACTTAAATGTAATCTTAATTGTAGAAAGCTTGATAACCTAGGAATAATTCATCCTAACTTATCTTTATTTCTTAGATACTAGCTTCTTAACTGCAGTGTTTTTAAATTTTATTAATTTTGATAGGTGTGCTTTAATATGTATAGATCAGGGGTGTCAAACTCACGGTGTCATATCGTCACCTGACGTATCGCGGCTTTCTTCCTCTTCACTAAAATGAGTGGGCGTGGCCAGTGCATGACACATCCGGCTCATGGACCACGAGTTTGACACCGCTGGTATAGATAGTCCTCAGTTAATGACTGCAGTTGGGACTAGAATTTGCATGGCTAAGTGATGTGGTTGTAAAGTGTAAAGGCACATGACTGTGCTGTGTAGCAACAGCAGTTCTGGCTCTCCTGATTGCTGTCATTAAGCGAATCCTGTGCTGTTGTTAAGTGAGAATGTTAGGTGGTTTCCATTTGTGATCTTTTGCCAGCTTTCCCACTGTTTGTGAGAAACTGACAGTGAAGGTTACAAAGGACAATTACATGACTGTGGGAATGTTGCAACGGTGAAACTTTGAGGACCAGTTGTAAGTACCACTTGTTCAAAGCTGTCATAAATTGAAACAATTGTTAAACAAATGGTTCTAACGTGAGGACCATCTGTAACTGGTGCAACTATATAACTCTGGAAACATTCCATCCTATATAATCCACCACCATCTGAGTTGATTTCTTTGTAAAAACTATATAGCTACCCATTTAAACCTGGTGTTTGTAGATGATTTACAAAACACCAAAATGTATTGTAGGACTCAATGTTTTATATAAACAGGGCAATATTGCTATTATAACCAAGGATCCTGAAAATTATCACTCAATCATAATCCCAACCAATAATTTTACCAACACCTGGAGGAAAAGCCTGGTCTTCAGGACATTTTGGAATGCTTACAGGATCAGGACCATCTGAGCTAACACTTAAATTTCAGTTTGATCTGACTTGTCCTGGGGTATGGTCATCCTGAAGTTTAGCTTAAACAAGTATTCCCTAAACTCTTCTATGATTGAAACATCTGGTGTTATTGAGGATTCCCTACTGTGTGAATAGTAGGTTCCTCTATGCATAGAAGAGAACCCCAAGACCCTAATTTATGCTGTACTCAGATGAACCACAATTTGTGACCTAATTTACTACACAAGATCTCTGGTATAGTTTGACTGAAGGTCATATCATATGGAATAAATTTGTACTGTATTTGAGAGACTGTAGGAGTTGTGCTTCTGTTTTATTGGCATTGTTTGAAAAGAGATCCCTGCGTGAAAAAGACATAATGTTATGAAGGCTTTTTTTTTTTTAACAAAGAGTTTTAGGCTCTCATTGTAATAAATGCCTGCTTTAATTTTAATTTAATGTTGATAAGGATGTGGCATGTGGCGATTAGGTTTTATCTTGCACGTTTACCAAACTCCTGGGCGATTGTAGAATATGTAGTATTGGAATCCTTAGATGCAGACAAGACATTCATCTGGAAATCTTCAAAATTCAGTAGGAGGAAGTGTTGAGAAGAACAAATTATGTTGGAAGCACAGATGCTGTGTGGGCTGATGCTCCCCCTTTTCCTTGCAGTCAAAAGCCAAAAGTGCATATTGAATATATAATCCAGATACCAGATGGCTTCCGTTAATATGTCATCTTCTGCTGGGTAATAACCAGATTTTTTTTCTTTGGGGGATGGGGTATTATCCAGAGTAATGTGTTTCTGGTGATCCATAATAGTCATAGCTATCCTGATACTGTCAAATTTTAACAAAATCTCTAAGTGAAATGACTGTGGCTTCGTGGTGGGCCACTGTGGTCTTAATTCCTGTGTTCCCTTCTCTAATTCCTATGTTTCTGAATTGGCTGTTTCCTTAGTTCCTAATTAAACAATATCATAAAATAGTTACACTATTAAAATATATAAAATATGTATACATAATATAAAATATATAAACCCATAAAAGCATTTGTTATATATTTATTAAATGTTTTTTACTAAATTTAAATGCTGCCCATCTCACTATCATCTAACTCTAGCAGATTATAACATTTATGTATGGTAGTTCTAGTTATTTGGATATTTTGTGGAGGTATTTATAAGTGTTTCTTGCAGAACACACATTATACCTCTCTTCCTCAAGCTTCATTGGTTACTGGGCTGTTCCCCGGTCCAATTCATGCTGCTGCTTTTGACGTCCATGGCATGGGACTGGGTTATCTGAGGGATTCCTCCTGCTTGATTGCATCTGCCCATATCCCACCACATCCAGTAGAGAGCTACATTGGCAGACTCTAGGCATTATGGAATGGCCTCCCCCTAAACTGAGGCTTGCGTTATCACTTATCACCTTAAGGCTGATTGTGTTATCAGTCAGGGAACCCTGGCGGACTGGTGAGTCAATTTGGTGGCTCCATTATTGTGGACATCCCTTTATTTTTTTTAATAGTTTTTAATATTTTATAAGAATTATAAATACTGATTTGGTGTTTGTTTATTAACCATTTTTTAGCTTTGTTGCACATCGCCCAGAGTCACTTGCTTTCTGAGATAGGCAGCTATATAAATAAGTAAATAGTAAAATACTCTGTGAAAATAACATGGCTAAATGAAGATTATTCTCATAAAATACTTGAATTATCTCTTTCACATTCTTTTTTTTTAAAGATAAATTTTCCTCTGAGTTCTCCCTGTCCCAGTCTAATACTACATTTACCTTGGTTTTCCTCCCTTCTCTTCTTCCTACTTCCTAATAATATGCAACTTAAAGAAAACAACAATAACAATATTCTTCCTCATTTCCCCAAATTCCCAAAAAAGATTTGGGGAGATTTTAAAACATATTTTCTGTGTGAAATGTCAACTCATAAAATATTTCTATGGTCTTTTGAGAGTTGCCAACAGAAAGGGAGGGGGGGAAAGGGGTTTGAAAGAGCAGTGTGGCAGCTTGCAAATTGAAAGTGCATTCCATAAATAGTTTTCAAAGATAGTAAATAGGTGACTGAAGTTTCTGCCGTGCACAATCCTAACTGGAGAACATGATTGATGACTCTATGGATGTATGTCGTTGGGGAATATGAATTATGATACACCCAGGGGGTGGGAAAAAACCAGGGTCAAGGGTGACAATGTGTCTCACAGTCGGCTCCACCCAGGCAGGTCCGGACATGTTAACTCTCAATAAATCCTTTTGAAGTTTTGGAAGTTTCGCTTGAGACACACGATTTAATTGGAATAACAAAGCTATGGGTTTTAGATTTTGCCAACTTTCAGCCTTAAAATAAATATTGATTTTTTTAAAAAAACCAGCACCCATAATCTAGTGTTGGGTCTTTATTTTGATAAACAGAAATGTTTTTTTTTTCCTCCTTACATCCTTATTTAAGAATGGCTTTCCTTCTTTTGGGGAAGTAATATTACAATTATGCACTCATCATTGCATATACATAGGGGGACTGACAGCTTCTTTCATAGAAAGCTGGCTTTCTATCCCAGTACCATGTGGATTTCTGTTATGAAATTTCTGCTGATGTATTAATCTTACCACAAGCAGAAAATAAAAGCTCCAAGTTGTTCTTGTCCCTGAGATGCGCATTTCTAAGAAAACCAGCCAAGACTGAAATTGTTCCAGTGAGAAATTTTCTCTTTCAGAGTATTAATAAATTAAAGAAGAGCAGAGTTCTACTTAGAGGACTGTACTTTAATGATACATGTGCTTTGCCATTTAGAGAATTTTTAATGCAATAGAATGCTGCTTATAACATTGAATAAATAACTCAGCTTGCTCTGTCTTGCATTTGCTAAACAAAAATCCCTATTTTATTTCAGTTGATGTCCATCACTGTGTTATGCGTCTCTGCTTGGATGAGAGACTACTTGAATAACGTTCTCACTTTAACTGCAGAAACAAGGTAGGCATGTCCGATCAGTTTAAATCGACTATCTGAGCAGAAGGATTCCGCAAAGATATGGATCGATTTCTCCAAAGTGGATTCCATACTGCCAATATTCCTCTGTCCATTTCCCTGGATTCCTGCCAAGATTGACACCATTCCTGATAGTATTTTCAACATTTTATTTTTTAAAATAAATAAACGGGAAACTTTGCATGCAAGAAAGCAAAACCTCTTACAGGAATGCTTCTGGGCCGTGCTGACATCTCAGAAGGCATTTTGTAATGGCCCGTGAGATTGACTTTGGGAGACAAAAGAAGAGCCACACACTGGGAAATTGACTTATAAAAGATACCTCAGTTCACAGAAGGTGGAAGGTGTGGGAAGAGTTCTGGAAGCTCCCCCCCCCTCCCCGGTTTTCTGGAGTGTAAAAGGAAGACAGGGGAATAGTAGTTTTGCCAGATTCTGTTAATGTGATCTTATAATAGAGCTTGAACTTCCACTTCTCATCTCATTAGCCTTTAAAGCCTAACACATTTCTAAGGCACTGAAAAGTAATAAGATGCTTAGGCATTGTGCTCATTTCCTCCACACAGATAGTAATAAGATGATGGTAGAGAGCATCCTGAGATGGTAGATGGAGTGGTGAGTTGAGCTTTGATTGGCCATGCTGACTGCAACTGCCGTGGACTACAGAAATCTGGAAAGACCGTAGATGGAATCAGAATAACACAGAATACTTCAACTCTTTTCTCCCATTTAATGACTGAAAAGTCAGACCTACTAATTTTGGAAGTGCCGCTGTGCCCAGGATGGTAGCATGTTTGGGGAGGCATCCATAACTCATTCTTAAAATTCCAGATACACTTATTGAGCCAACCTCTTTTTTTTTTTTTTGTAAAAAATTTTATTTGGATTTTCACAAAACATAATACAAATAAAATATCTTTTTTTGAGAATAGCATGATCCCGGGTTATCACTTCTCCATACAGACACAAACTCAATTTCATATTCATCTTTGTATTCTATTCCATATCTTATTACTATTCTAGCATTTTCTCAGTGATTTTTTTCCCTTCCTTTAGTTTTCTCAACCTTATTTTTAATTATACCATTCCTTTCTAAATTCAATTATATATCTTTTTCTAAGTTTCAGTATCTTTCTAATCATTATGTTTATACTTTTGTCTGTCCTGTTTCAATTTCATATTTTCTTTTCTCATTAAACAGGTTTTCCCCTGTAGTTACTGATTGGAGTACTGATGACACCTTTGTATCTTTTAATTTTTGTCCATTCAAATCTTATTTAAACTTCAGTTTATGCCTTTACAATTATAACATCCAATATATAACCTCTATTTTATAACACATAACTTTT